GCCGGAGAACCAGCCAGGCAGGGGTACTGGGTACAGCTTTCTCATTGTTTGTGGGGTATGCAGGTGGCTCGGAAGCCCCATACTATGACGGTCACCCCACACTAAGGCTAGTGTTTGATCTGCTTGATCTCAGTTCACTTTCACAGTTCAACCCCCCAGTACCAGATTATTCATCCACAGCAGAGTTGCCAAAAGCCACATCCCCAGGAGGTCACCACTGCCACACCCCCCAAGAGGTCACCACTGGGGTATTCAATCAATGCTGATGCTCTTTCATGCCTGACTCTGTCCCACACCACATCAGGCCTCGGGCTGAGTTCTGTCTTCAAAGGACTAGAAAACTGGCTCCCAACTCCCAAATTCTAGACTTTCTCTCCTCTTTATGCCCTTACATAAACACTGTTCTGTTCCCTAATGTAAAATTCTCTGCATGGTCAAGAGATCCAGGAGCTCAACAAAATAATCCTGTTTAGGGAGAAGATTATGGATGCAGGCATCAGAAGGACAGGGAATGCTGTCTGTTTTGTTCACTACTCAGTTCCCCACGTGTAGGACGGGGCCAGACACAGGTTGACATGCAGTGTGGGCCCAATAAATGTGTGTGGGGAGAACACCCTCCCAGATTGCAGGAAGTTTCCCCCACATGGGAGAAATCTCATCCTAAAAAGAAGGCAAGCCTGCAAGAGCCCTCACCTGTACCAAAGCTGCTACATACGCACAGTCTCACCTCATTAAGTAGAGTCCTCACTCCTCAGGGGACCAGGTCTCCTCAACCCACAGAAAGCTGTCCGTCATCTCAGTGGGATAAGGTCTAGGTAGATCAAGAATCTTCTTGAAGTAAGAATACGAGGGAATTTTTGTAATGGATCCAAGTTAAAATGTTACTTTCTGGACACTCCAGATAAAATCATCTCACCTACAGGTTAGAAAAGGTCCATATACATATCCAACATCAAATTCAACACAGATGCAGGTCCAGTTTTAATGAGGAGGAAAAGACTGAGTACAGAGAATCATTTCTAAGGACACCTGCACTTGGATGAAGACTCAAGCCGTATCTGAAAGTGAACATCTTAAAAGTTCCAAACGAGTGTGAGCTCCTGGAGCCAACTCTTAGTTCATGTCCGCACTGATGTGGCTGTTGTGGGTCTCGGTTTTCTTGTTCCAGCCCCTTCTCTACTTCAGTTTCTTCTCCTCCAATCTCACTCCCTTTTCTTCAACATCTGAAGAATGGATCATCACCGAAGGAAGTACAGACCAGCTTCTAAGGACCCAAACAAATTCCTCTTTATCATCCTCTATGACATTCTAAAATCCAAATCAGTCAAGGAGATATTTTTTATTATTTTGTGGTGCTGGGGATCAAATCCTGGGCCTTGTGCACGTTAGGCCATTGAGCCACATCCCCAGCCCTAAAGATATATTTAAATTAGCATAATTCTATCAAGCTTTTGCCCAAAGATGAATAATTCAAGAAAGAATGTCAACCATCAGGGAATAATGAATATTATTTCCTCAGTGGGTGGAAAGGAGGGGCTGCTTTTATTTTTACAAAAAAAAAAAAAAGCAAGTGAATGGAGCTAATGAATATGGTTTCACAGATATTCCCAGGTATTCTGAAAAGATAAGGAAAAGGCGGCATGAATAAACATTTCTCCCACACAAGCTGGCAAAGTCACGTGTCAGCATCAGTGAGACTGCTGTTTTGAGAAAGGACCCCCAGAAGGGCAAACCAAATTGCTGGGGATAAAATATGTCCGTTACCTTGCTTTAGAGGCGATAATCTTTAAAGTGAGAGTGAAAGTAGCTGAGAGAGCAGTTCCTGGGCATTCTGAAAAGTCACAGGGAAGTGCGGAGTCACGAGTGAGGGAGATCTGTGGCCAGGGTGAAGCCAGTTATTTCTCAAGCTAAACAGAAACCAAGATCCCCAGGGATTCTGAAAGGGGCTACACCCCAGCTTTGCCATGAACTTGATCAAGGCTCACGACACCAAGAAGCAAGCCCTGCATGGACAATTCTATTCATAGTAACCACAAATCACAGTGTTTGCCTCCTCTCTGCGTCTGGAGATCATTTATCCCAAGACAGCGTCTTCCAAAAACACCCGCTGGGGTGGATATTTGGACGTCACATTGACAATCCTCCTAGCCACACACCTGGCTCTGTGCTTTGTGGCTTTGCCTCATAGTGTTGCGCAGTCCCACAATCCAGGCAAGAGGTGAGGGATGGGAGGGGGTCACTGATTCTGCCCCAGAAGAAATGTCAAGAGTGGGGACAGGGATGGACAAACTTGAGACACCATGAATGAGCTCTGGAGCTCAAAGGACAGAAAGAGGTCCCCATAAGAACTTTGAGTAAGTCATAAAGAAATCCATTTGGCTGTGGCTGCAGAATGTCTCAGAGTCTTCCAAGTTTCTCTTCTACCGATTCTAAGTCACAGATAAGGAGGGAAGAGAGTAAAGAATTTTTTTTAAATATTTTTTAGTTGGACGCAATATCTTTATTTTGTTTATTTATTTTTATGTGGTGCTGAGGATGGACCCAGTGCCTCACATGTGCGAGGCAGGCGCTCTGCCACTGGGCCCCAGCCCCAGCCCCAGCCCCACAAAGAATCTTAACAGAAGTAGGTCGCCCAGCAGGGAGCTGGGTGCTGGAGGAAACTGATTCTATAGGGAAAATACTAACGGGAGTGAAAGGAGATTTTCTGAGCCTAGTATTCCTGACAAATACCAGTGATAAGATGAGTCATTACCAATTCCAATCTCCATCCTGATGCCTGGAAAGGTTTCCTAGGATCCCCAGGGTCTGCTRTGAGGAACTGGTTCTGCTCCAGGTGGTTTCAGAGGTTAGCACAGTGAGTGGTTTCCATGAGGGTCTCAAGACCTCTAAACTTGGAAGACCGAGTCCTCGTCTTGATGTTGTCTCAGTCTTTTGGGGGGGGGGGGCGTGGAGGGATACTGGGGCGCTTATATCTCCAGCCCTTTTCATTTTTTATTTTGAGACAGGGTCTTGCAAAATTATAATCTCCAAACTTGYAATCCTGCTGTTTTAGCCTCCTGAGTCACTGGGATTACAAAGATGGGCAGCCAACTTGTCTCAGTCTTCCTACAACAGGAAAAAGAGCCAGCTTCCTGCAGAAATTCTGCTCTGCAATCCAGCAGTGGGGTGTCAGCSGCCAACATGAATGGACTTCACCTGTCAGAGGCTCCATGTAGCCCAGAAGGCCCTGAAGCAAAACTAAAGTTTGTGAATGAAAAAAGTATTTAGAAAATGATCTCAGGGGCTGCCAAAGAATGAACCCAACTGCTGGGGACATGGCTGTGAACAGAATTTGGTTGTCAGTCACGCTAGGCAAGTAACATTACCTTTACCTAGTGGAGAAAGGAAGAGCTTCCTTCAAATTCTTGAAAGAAATCTGAGAGAATAGAATAGGGAAAGAGATGTCTGTTTTCATAAGAAATAACTTTCRTAGAAGAGATCACAGAAGAATCTGGAAAGAACTATGGCTGATGGTAGGTCAGGGAAAAAAGTCAATGCTCATCTCTCAACCAGAAACAGCAGGGAAAAGCAGGGAAGAATAGGGAAAAGCAAAGGTCACAACCATTAAAAAGACGAGCACACCAAAATTGCGGTATAGAAATATTGAAGGCTGTGTATAAGAAACACACTGGAGAAAAAGGCCAAAAGGAGTGAAAAGGTACTATCAGAATTAGAAATAGAGCATGATTATTAATTCAGATCAAAACTGGCAGTTTTGAGATATGTGCTCCTTTTAGAAGAAAACAGGTGAGAAGAATGAGAAGAAATGGCCGGGGTGTGATGTCACACACAGGAGCAGGAAGGATTTACACATGAGATCTAGAGGCATCTAAGGTCAAGTGYAAAGGGTGAGAATTCTAAAAGGCCAGATTACTGTCTTGCATTTTACTGTGATTSTATATTGAAGGGGGAAAAGGCTGACAATCTGCAAATCAAGATGAAGAGAACATCTACTCAATATAAAACTAAGGAAAACTCTTGCAGGAAGCCCCTTCTCTCAAGTGGACAAAGACAGGTAGCTTTTCCTTGCAAGCATTCTAATCTAACATAAGAATTTCTATTCATTAGCACACTTTCAGAATATCCTCAGGTGACCCAGCCTAGAAAACCAAGGAGGAGGAAGAGAGATTTACAAATTTGTAATGTAAAGGACTGCTGAGAGTCATTTTAAGGACAAAGGTGAAGGTAAAAGATTCTGCCTATACACACAGAAAATGATAGAATTGTAACTAGAGCATACTAATTTATGAATTCAGCTAACCAGGGTGAATTCCTGGGTTTYTCAGAAAATATGGGATTTGGCAGAGGGAAACTGTGACCTCAGATATAAGCATAAGATGATATGGATGGAAAAGCCCTGTTCTAATGCAAATTCCAAATACAATTTATCTCCTGTCTTCCCCCGCCCATCCTTTTCTTGGTTCCAGGGAGCCATAGGAGTTACCAGTCTTCCTTCTTTTCTTCTTCTCAAGGAAAGGGAGAAAACAGCAGCTCCTTTGACTGTTTGCCCTCTGGCTTGCTTGTTTTTTGTTTGAACTTGAGGGCAGAGCTGGGGGGGGGGGGTGAGAGGGAAGGAGTCTAGTTATCTCCCAACACTGAATGACCAGCTGCTGAATATTGAGAACTGGCCTCATGCAGAGTAGCAAGGGTGAAGATTACCTTCAGACCAAGAGAGGWTCAAACTAAACAGTCCTCAGACTCACCCCAGTCATTGAACAAGGCCCTGGAAATCCTTACCAGAAACTGCCACACACRCATGCCAGTTACATAGGGCTAAGGAGAGACCCAGCACCCAGGTTTCCCCTTGGGGCATGCAGTAGAGGGGTCTGACCCTATGTGTCTGCTCTAAGTAGGAGCATGGGACAGGGGGAGTAATCRGAAAGATGCCTCTCTCCTCATTCCTGGCTTTGACACAAAGGCAGTTTAACTGGGAAGAGGGGAGAGGGAAGGGAAGGGAAGTGGGACACCAGGAATCTGAGCAAGAGAGAGGGAGCACTCCATCCCACCACGAGGAGCTTTGGACAGGAGGATGTGCTGACGCGGTCTGAGGGCTGACCATGGGCAGGCGACACTCTGCTCATTTTACAGATGAGTTTCTAGCAGCTTAAAGCTTGTCAAGGCCACACTGTCAAGAGCACAGCCAGGAGGAGAACGGAACCTGTCCTAGTCCCATCAGCGTAAGCCTGCCTGCCTCTCCTCAGGACCAGCTGTGCTCACTCTGCTGGAGGGCCTGCAGAACCGTGGGGGTCTGGGGTTGGACACCCAGGGAAGGGGAGGAGCACCAAGTCAGGGTTAACGAGGGAGCCTTCAATTTCACATTCTTCCCACAGAGGCGTTGCCTAGGTGCTGCCCTTCCTAGGGCATGCTGAGACCGAGGAAACTAAGTCCATGTGTTCTAAGCAGCCAAGGAGCCACCCAGGGAGCTCCTGGCCAGCCCAGGTGGTCTCCACAACTCCAAACTAGTCCAAAAAAGGAGAGGCGGAGACATTAATATCGATATCCCCAGAGAGAGGAAGTCAGCATTCCAGTGTCTGATTAGGGTGCAGATGGGAGAGACCCCCCTCAGGCCTACCCACACCGCAGTTAGGACACCAAGGCCCTGATCCTGAAGTGAAGGATGGCTGGGAATCAGTGGAGCCTCTAGGAGATACCACTTGGCTTCTATGTTAGCGTGGCATGTGGCAGCAGCCTGCAGGATCAGAGAACTGTAACCTCAGCTTTCTGCCCTCCTAGCGTTCTGGCCTAGCAGAAGAGAGAGATGGTAATCAGACCGTGTGGAGCTGTAGTTGATGAATACTTTCAACAACAAGGTAAGTAAAGGGGGGTGTGGACCTCAACAGGAAGTGGCTGGAATTTGAGGAAGTGCAGGAGTTCACTGGGTGAGGAGGAGAGGCGGGAAGGGCAGCAGAGGGAGCCCAGGCACCAGGAACTGAAGGCAGAGATGCCCCCGACACATACACACAGGACGAAGCTGCAGGAAAAACCAATATGTGGAGATTGAATCACCTGGCAATTATCTGAAAAGAATCAATGATGGTGCTGCAAAGGCCTCTGKGTTGGAGACCTTCTCAATCTGAATCTCTTACACACCTAGCTAACAAAACACTCGAATTTGTTGCCATTAAGTTGCAGCATAGGAATAAYAGCAAGCCTGCACACTATGGGTCCCCACATTCCCCAACATCTAACAGTACCTCGCACTACTTATCTCAGGTGATACTGTCTCACTGGGCAGGGGGACAGTAAGAGAATCTCCCAAATTCTCACAGCCTGCATGTGACCAGGACCATAACTGAGYAGGGACCAGGCCCAGCTGGTTCAAGGTTGTCACATTAACAGGGTGGCACTCAGGGATTCCTGTCAGCAAGAAGATGAAAAGAAGCCCAGGGACAACATTTTTATCCCTAGTGTCAGTCTTGAGATGTGGTGACTCTTGTAAGCCTCTCGGGGCATTGCCTCCCCGGTATATGAGGATAATGACACTTGTCTATCAACCTCATTGTGAGATTCAGACCCACACATGTGCCTGAAGGGTTTAAAGCATTATCATCCGGCAAAAACATACCCTGGTATTAACTTCAAATAGGCAAGGTTAGTGTCTCCTTTGCAAGACCACAGACATAATCAACAAGTAGAAGGAGAAAGAAAACTGCAGCTACATCCCTCACCTCTACCCTGGGGCACAAAACTGAGAACTAGCGGAGATTCCCCTGAAGTCCACCATGCCCCATAAGTTTTTGGGGGGCACTGTCCTTTTCCAGGAAAGAACTAAGCTTGCCCAAAGAGAGGCCTGGCCTTTGGCCTCCCTCAGCTCTGAGAGACCTTTAAGCCCTTGGATTGTCYTGTCTGGTAAGTGAGGACCATCTGTCCTGCAGATGGTCTTACAGTGTGGTTTATGATAGGGCCYGGAGCCACGCAGTGCCAGCATCGTGAACCCAGAGACCAGAGGCTGAGGTCAGCCCACATGAACGAACCCCAGCGAAAACTTTCCCCAAGGCTCCGGTGAGCTTCCTGGTTGGTWGTACTCCATGTGTGTGGTCACACAGTTTCCAGAGGCTAGTGCTTTACACAATCCCAYGGGAAAGGACAACTGGAAGCTCCATCTGTGAACCCACCTGGACTCTGCCCCTCTTTCCTCAGCTTMATTTAACCTGTATCATTTCATTGTAATAAATCTCAATTGTGATTACAACAGCTTMCAGAATATTGTGTCTTTTTAACAAATTATACACCTGAGTACGGTCTTACAGACCCCTAAGTTTGCAACTGATGTTGGAGTGCCGGTGATCTTGAACTCTGAACTCTGTGGTCCCTCTTCAGTACCATGTAGTCCTCACATAGACACAAGGAAGTAGGTGTCATTCCCACCTCCCAGACAGGGAAACTGAGTAACTTAGAGAAGCCATCACTTCACCACAATTTCATATTCAGTGAGTGGGACAAAGGGCTCAATCTCAAATTGTGGCATCTGTGACATCCTCACCTGGGCACACAGCGGTCCTGCCTCCAGCTGAGACCACATCTCTGGTTGCCCTGAGAAYGGCAGACAAGTGAGTAGGGGGCCTCCGTCCACGCTGACCCATGCCAGGGGAGCATGATGGGGGATCTTTGCAGGTGCTTTAGTAGGGGAAAAATATAGATGCTAGTGGTATCATGAACCAGCTCCAGCTTTCAGATAAGCCACCTAGGACAGAGACTCCCAGGGCAGCCCTGAAACCCAAACCTCAGGCCTTTCATGGTCAGAGCGAAACCAGGCATGCAGAGTGGGAGGTCGGACAGCAGTGATGCAATGCCTCCTGGGACAGGACATTCCGCTGAGAAGCTGGTCAAGGGGCTGCGTCAGGGGAGTAGGGGGAGGAGAGATGCCCAGAGAGAGAGCCCAGGCAGGAGGGGCAGGAGGGACAGATGGGGTGGCCAACAGCACATCTGCCCCAGAGACAGGCATGGTGTCTGTCTGCCCAGCACCACCGCCTGCCAGGATGGGGGGTGGGCAGGAAGGAGGCTGCACACGCAGCAGATTCCACCCCAGCACCGGGACCAAGCTGTGGCTGTCAATCCTGCCTCCCGTCTCCGGGAACCTGGCGTGGCCAATGCCCTCAGCCGCCTACACACACGCCGTCCCAGCTCTGTGCCATAAAATTAGTTTTACAAGAGTAGAGGATTTAACGCTGCCCCCCCACCCAACTAGCTCTGTGGAATCTGCAGCCCCCAAATATGAAGCCACCATGCCTAAAATATAGGTTTATATATATATATATAATATATATATATTATATATATATTTTTTTTTAAAGTCTACTTCTACGTAATTGCTTTCTATTTTATTTTAGACATGTATACAAGAACAGAAGAAAAATCGGGTCAATTGGATTTACCTTGCTTTTACTTTGTCCTTAGAGTTCATGAATCTAAATCCCAGCTGGTTACAAAGGACATTTAGCAAATGAGTTTTTAAAATTTTAACTGATACATATTTATTGCACATGTTTAATATTTATGGGGCACAGTGTGGTTTTTCACTCAGGTGTATACTGCATAATGATCAAATCAGGGTAATTTGCATTCCCATCACTTCAAACTTTTATCCTTTCTTTGTGCTGGGAACATTCGTCTTTTCTAGCTCTTTTGAAATATATATAGTCAATTGTTAAATATAGTTCACCCTACTGTGCTATAAAACACCAGAACTCATTCCTCCTATCTAAATTTTGGTACCAGTTACCTATCCCCTTTCTATCCCTATCCTCYCTACTCTTCCTAGCTTCTAGAGACCACTCTTCTACTCTTCTACRAGATCARCTTTTTAGCTTCCACGTATGAATGAGATCKTGCAGTATTTATCTTTCCATGCCTGGCTTATTTCACATGTCCTCCAGACTCATCCACATTGGCATGAACGATAGGATTTCATTCTCTTTTATATGGCTCAATAATAATCCATTATGTAAAAATACTACAATTCTTTATCTATTGATCCATCACTGGACACCTGGACAAGTGATTTTTTTAAAAAAGGAGAAAGGTTTTTAACATAAAAATAACTGAGAAACATAGTTATCTTTAATAATAGTAATGTAAATTGCTAATACTATGAATTAAGCTGGGACTATAAAATACCCTTGAGGCGATAAGCTTTGAAACAGATTATTATTACTCTAGAGGTCCCTGCAGGGGTCTATGTGTGGGTTTCATGAAATTGCAATTGCTTGCGAAACCATGCGGAATTTTTCTGAGGTGGAAGAACAAAACTTTCATCGACTTGGGAAAGGGATTTCTGACTCCCTGGTGTTMGAACTACTAGCTCACACATCCAGCACATTCATGGTCTCATTTACTTCCAAGACGTCTTCGTGAATTAAATAGAGTCAGGATGATTATCCTACTGGGTAGATGGAAAAGGGGAGCCATTRTCCACATTCCCAAAGCATGTGGGTCATTTTATTCACAGTTTGGTGACAGAGTTTATCACAGTTGACCTTGCTTGGTGGTCCACATGTGTTTCTCCACCTAAAGAATTTAAACTTCTTGAGACTGGGCTTCCATCCCAAATGACTCGCATGTGCCAGGTACAGAGTCAGGGTCTGAGAGGTCAAGTTCCTAGAGCGGGGGATGCAAGCAGACCAGAGCTCAGGTTGGTAGGCGCCATCTTAGCAAACCTGGGCACTTAGGTAGGTGTCTGACAAATGTTTGTCGGTGATAATGATGATCCTGCCTCCCTCGCCTGCTATTCTCACTCCTCAGATGATTCACACGCTGCAAAAATATCTGCTTTGGCTACAAAGAAAGAATGTACCCTCTCTAAGTCTTGAAGTGCCAGACAGCTGGCAGGACAACAATATGACCCAGCACACCCAAGCCTGCAGGGATGTTACTGGGCATTTTAAGGCAGCTATTTGGGAGGAGAAGCCAAAGATTCAGTGAAGAATATGGGAATTTGAATAACCGACCCTTTCAAATCTCCACTTAACAACTCTAAAGTGATTTCATAATCCAATGATTCTGTGATCCCTCCTCTGCCTCCAGAAACTGAACTGAGACAGGGCTGATGAAGTACTCCTGCAGAGCAGGAGGCAATAAAGACAAAGCCTCTGGAAACACCTTGGAGTTCTCTTCTTCAACAAAGAAGTGGCCACTCCACTGTACAGCCACTTCACTTCTACAGCTCCCAACTCTGAGCAATTGAACTTGAGCAGATGCTTTCCATATTGCCTAGTGTGGCGCCTTCTGCAACACCACCAGGTTGAAGTCCCAGCTTCAGCTTTTGATCACTGCCACAGGAACTGGCAAACGGGATTCTCACTGTGTAACTTTGGTCTAATAATGTAAACTTTCTAGCCAGGTGCAGTGGTGCATGCCTGTAATCCCAGCGGCTCTGGAAGCTGAGGCAGGAGGATCAAAGCCAGCCTCAGCAAAAGCGAGGACCTAAGCAACTCAGTGAGACCCTGTCTCTAAACAAAATAGAAAATAGGGGTAGGGATGTGACTCAATAGCCAAGTGGCCCTGAGTTTTATACCCAGTATCCCCCCCTCAAAAAAAGAAATAATGTGAACTTTCTGAATCTCAGTCTCTGCAGAATTGTTTTAAAAAGTAAACTATTATGTACAGCTATGACACACTTAAAAAGAAAGATTAAACTCTATATAGTCCGGCACATACTAGATACAATTTAATAGTAACTAGTATTATTTAGACATGGGAAAGGAGATAAGCCTACATTCAAAGTAAAATTCCATTCTAACACTTGAGAAATTTCATAAGAACTGAAAAGCACAGAACTCTGCTTTCTCTGTCCATTGCCCCAAAGGAAAGGCCCTGTATCTGTACAATAGGGTAACAAACTCAATAAAAAGACAAATAACACCAATTGAAAAATAGACAAAGGATTTTATTAGACGTTTCTAAAGAAGATAGACACGTGACCAATAAACAAACAAAAAGATGCTCAATATCATTGATCATTAAGGAAATGCAAATCAAAGTCATGGTGAGATTCCCCTCATACCTTCTAAAATAAAAAAGGCAACAGTAAGTGTTGCAAGAATTGGGTGAAAATGGAACCTTCATTCACTGCCAACAGCATTGTAAAATGTGCGGACACTTCAGAAAACACTCTGCTTATACTCCTCAAAATATTAAATGTAGAGTTACACTAGGCCCCAGCAATTCTATTCCTAGATATACACCCCAGAAAACTGAAAGCATAGAAAACTYGTTCACAAATGTTCCTAGGAGCATGATCCATAATAGCCAAAAAGTGGAGACAACCCAAATGTTCACCCTCTGATAAATGAATAAACAAAATGTGGTTTGCCTTTACAATGAAACTTATCCAGCTGTCAAAAAAAATGCACTGATACATAAATGCACTAAAACATAAAGACATGCTAAGTAAAGAAACCAGTTGCAAAAGGCCACATGTTGTATTATTCCATGTATGTGAAATATCCAGATCAGGAAATCCATAGAGGCAGAAGATGAATTAATGATACGAGGGAATGGGAAAGGGGAGAGAATGGAGATAGGGAGAGACATCTAATGAATATGCAGGGTTTTTTTAGGAACATGTTCTGGAATGAGATGGTGATAATGGATGTACAACTTTGTAAATATAAATAAAACACCACTGACTTGTATACTTTCAAAGCTTGCATTTTATGTCATGTGACATATCTCAATAAAGCTGTAATTAGCAAAATGGAACTCACCTCCTACCTTACAGGGTTGCCATGAGCTGATGGACACAAAGCCCCTGATACATGGCCCAGCCCTAGAACTCCTTTATCAATAGTCCTGGAGTTATAATTAGTATTGTCAGCCTGCACCCTGGTGTCACTGGAAGGACACGGTGGAATAACACTGATTAACTCTAAGACTGGAGATGGTAGAAAAATGAACTTTAGTGTTTTTACAGAATGCTTTAAAACTTTTAAGCAGAATATATTCATATAATACTTGGATAATTAAAATTTCATCATAGGGCAGTGAAAACCACTATGTAAGTTACTATAATGGTYGATATATATATTATGCACTTGTCTGAACCCACAGAATGTCCACCATCAAGAGTGAATCCTACTGTATGTAAACTGCGGACTCCAAGGGATACTCTGGTATCAGTGTAGGTTTGTCAACTATAAGGCATTATCACTCTAGTAGGGGGCCTTGGTAATGGGGAGGCTCTGCACTGTGGGAGG